TTAGATAGGGTGTTTTGTAACCTGTTGGTTGTTCGATTTGTACATTAAAGTCGTTTTTACTAAAATTTGATGTTTGGTAAAAAATAAAAAAATCAATGAAATGGCCACTAAATCTTGAAGCATACCAGACAAGCCCGTTGACCGTTCAGGTTCATGTTTTATACAAATTGAATCGTCTGTTCAGATTCCGATCGACGAGTTTAAAAATTGTTTTTTTTATTTTTATTATTTTTTATTTTTTTTATAATTTGCCGGGACGGCCCAGAACCGGCGAGTCGATTCTAAACCGTGAACCGTTGGTTATTGAACCACCCCATATATTTAGTGAATTGCTAAACACCGCCCCTTTTAACTACCTACCGCCCTCCCTTAAACCGTTTTGCCCTGGCATTTTTTATGTTTAAACAAAAACTACGGCCGACCGGCAATACCGGTCGGACAGTCGTCGATCGGCCAGTAATCTGGCCGGCCGTGTTTTTTTTAAATTATGTTAGAATTTAAAAATTATTATGTTATAAATTAGAATTTATTATTATTATGTTAGAACTTAGAAATTATTATGTTATAAATTAGAACCGATTATCTTATAGAATTTATATTTATTATGTTAGAACTTAGAAAATATTATGCTATATAATAATTTCTTGTATTATCAAATTTCTTGTATTAATATTAACATGTAATTTAATTTTTTAAAAAAAAACACCGGCCGGCCGGCCGACAATACCGGCCGCACAAGGTGGCGGTGGACCGATTAAGCCGGTCGACCACCAGACTGGCTGGCCAAATCGGTCGACCGTCGCCGACCGCAATCACGAGCCGGCCGATAACGGTCTGGCCAGTGTTGTCGGGAGATTGGCCGGCCGTGTTTTTTATATTTTTTTTCAAATAGAAAAAATGTCAGAGACAAAACGGTCCAATTAAAACCAGTGTTCTAAAAGTCGCTAGGCGCCCGCTAGGCGCTCGACCAGTGCCTAGCGCCTAGAGCGCCTAGTCGGGGCCTAGGCGGCGCCTAGTCGGGGCCCAGAAATCAATAATAAATACCTTATTTTTTATTTATTTTAACTACCTACAAAATAAAATTATCTCAACATATAATAAATTCACACACCAAAGTCCAAATAATAATATTAATATATATTAAAGAAAACATGAGAACAAAATAATGTAATTAGTATTTAAAAAAATAAAAAAAAATTAAAAAACAATTGAAAAATTACCGCCGAGCCCGCCTAGGAGCGCCTAGGTCCGCCTACGCCCGCCTAGACGCCGCCTAACCGCCTGGCCGCCGAGCCCGCCAAGGCCGCCTAGGAGCGCCTAGGGCCGCCTAGGCCCACCTAGGCGCCGCCTAGCCGCCTGGCCGATTTTTTCTGCCCATTTGTACAAATCGGAGGCGCCCGGGCACCGCCTAGCGCCTAGGCGCCGCCTAAGCCGATTTTTAGAACAATGATTAAAACGATAGGTCGTAAAAGGATAGGAGGTGTTCCTATATTTATCCGGACCAATTCCGAGTCATATAAAATGCGAACCTGAAACGGCGGTTCCGACCCAAAACCACATTCGGCCACCTCTAATTCCATCAATACCCAATCCAATTATAAAGGATAAAAATAAAAATAAAAAATTAAGAAAAAGGAAAAAAAGTTCTCTTTTTCCTTTATTTACTGAAAAAAGGCCAAATTGAACAGATCACGCAACACGTGTACTAGGAGACTAAAGAGGTGGGCCAGATGTGTAGCACGCATCTTTACTGCCTCCGCTGGTGACGGGTCCAAACCCAGCTGAAAAATTGAAAATTCCTCCAAAATATAAATAAATAAATAAATAAAACTCACGATGCACATAGATAATACACTCTCGCTGTCTCCCTCCTACATTCTGTATTCTTCTCTTTGAGATTCTACTGTTTACAAATATTGACTCCAAATTCTCCCCCAAATTTCTAGGGTTTTGCAGCCCTGGTAATCCTCGCCTCATCTGGTATTGTAATTTTGTTNTAGTTATTGTAATTATGAGCCTGTCGGATAGTTTTTTATTTCTATTTTTTTTTTCAGTTGAGTTCCTTAATTTTGTTTTAGTTTATGTTTCGGTTAAAAGATTTGATCTTAACGTTGTTTGATCTGAGAGGTTAGGCATTAAGACTTAAGACTTGATTCTATTGGAATTTGGAATTAGGTGCTGAGAATTTTGTGGATTTGATTGATTTGTTGATTTAATTGAGTTAGGAAAATTAAAAGGTTTAAACTTTGAATTGGAACTGTTTATGCAAAAGTGACCCTGAAATTGAGATTTTAGTGAGAAGATAAGGGTATGGCGGATCTAGACTTGGAAGTGATTATGTGCTGTTTGAAATTTAAATTTGATTATCACGGATCTAAAGTCCTAGACTGAGAATTGTGTGACCGATTTCTGCTAATTCGTGAAAATGATGCATGCTTAGGAAATAGAGACCATCCTAACATTGATAAGTCAGTCGGTGGGATTACGTCATCAAGACACCGTTGGGCTCCATAAATTTGTATAATTTGCTTATGCATTTAATACAGCTTCCATTTTCAGGCCATGAAAGTGATTTTGGTACAGAAAAAGACATGATTGTTTATGCTTTATGTTGGAAAATTTCTTACACTGAAAATGTTCTTTATCAATATTCAAATGACCTTTGCAAAGAAAGAAAATATGCATCTGGTTTAAGGGTTCCATGATATATTTACTGCAGAATTGTTTTCTATGTCATATGAAAGTATTATAGTAAAAGTAGTCATAAATACATTATCTTAAAGCAAGATATCATCTTTATCCAGAGCAGGTAGCCAGTTGTTTTGTCCTTCTGTCCAATTTTTATACATTCCCTATCCTTGTTACTGCATTAGTGGCCATTGGTTTAAAAGTTACTCTTTTTTTGGTCTAACTTATGAAAAGGTTATACCGGTTTCCTTTAGATTGGGGTAATTCCTAATGTTCTATGATCAAGTTCTTTAACACTATCCTATTGGTATTCTTTTTCCATATATGCTCATTAATGTACATTTATGAATGTCTATTTTCTTCTCTAGCCTCAAGTTGAAGGAGAACAATTTTGTTTAGGTTGATTTTTAATGTCCATCACATTCATATATGAAGTTCGGATTTCTACATTAATAATGGTAATTGATTATGTGGCTGTATGAAATGGCGATAAGTCTAAACTACTATGTAAGTAGGAAAGTTTTGATATATTGTCTAAATGGGATACATATTGGCCGACGAACTAACACTTTGCCTTATTTTTTGTCTTTTGTAGCCCCTAAGGGCACGTTAATCAAATTCTTTGAGAATACTAAGGGAGCATGCAATCCAAGCCGAAAAGTGATAAAGAAGCAGTGCCAAACCTCTATAATGTTACTAACCCCTCGCTATGCCCTGATTCTTGGTGGAATAATGCTGGATTTAAATCCTTTAACCCGACAATGATTAGGGGAAATGCGTCCGAGTCATCCTCTCGGGAACAATCTGTGGACGGGCAATCGCAGTCTGAAAGTGGTATAAATGAGGAAGATGATGATAATGCCAAACAGCCATCAAGCACCATGCCTTTGCACACAAGTAATGCTCTGTGTACCTTTTCTTGAAATGAGTATAAAAAAAAATTGAGTAAAGTTTGTTTCGTTGAAGACTCAGTTTCTGTGATCATGTTTTGCCTTTAGACAAGAAGTCGTGTTCTCTTCTGAGACTCGGGAAATGATAAGTGATTTGAGAGCCGATGTTTTTGTTGGGTCTTTATATTGCAACCAAAATACATTTCCTGTTTCAGCTTCATGCATATATACAAAAATGTCCTGAATTAATTATTTATTTATTTATTATTATAATAATAATAATTATTATTATTATTATTATTATTATTATTATTATTATTATTATTATTATTATTATTTTGAGGAATTTCATGTGGTAAGTACACTAGTATGAGTGAGATTATTTCTTTTTGCTTGCCCCTATTCTATGCCAGAAAAAGTGGTATTTCGTCATTGTCATTTGTCGTGTCCACACCAGTGTTAGCTTGCCTTGATTGATGAAAAGGTCAAGTCTCTTATAATGTGAGCCAGAAAATGTCAGAAAACCATCTGGGAGCATATAATTGAGTTTTCTATTTTGTCTGATAAAAAAAAAATGTTATTCATAAACCACTTTTGAGTTCAGACAGAAACTTCATGGGAGAGGATCTGAATCTCCAGCAAGTTCCACCTACCTTGCGCCCGAGAGATGACGGGAACACAACTGAGCCCCCACAACTAAATCTCGTTGGGCACTCAGTTGTAAGAATGCCTGCAATTATGATATAATGCCTTAAGTATCTCGATTCTTGCTTCCTCTAGATCAAGAGATTTATTAGTGAATTAGTGTTTATAAGCTTCAAACTTTTTCAGGCTCTTGGGATGAACCCTTTTGATCCCTACTACGGAGGCATGATGGCAGCTTATGGTCAGCCCTTGGTATGAGAATGACTGAAGCTACTTTTTTTATGCACGAATTTACCTTTTCTTTTCTTTCTTCATCTCTCTCTCTCTCTCTCTCTCTCTCTCTCTCTAAATGTCGGTTTCATGTATTTTTGGGTAAATGCATGGTGACATGGGAAAATGAGCTCATCAACAATAGATGCTGGGTGTGTTACTATTGTTAAAAAAATTGTAATGTTTCAACCAAGTATTGTGATTTATGGATTTATTTATTTATTGCTTTCATAATCAAGGTACCTCCTCATATATATGATATGCAACAAGGGCGGGTCCCACTACACCTGGAGATGGCACAAGAGCCTGTATACGTGAATGCCAAGCAGTACCATGGTATTATGAGGAGACGACAGTCACGTGCTAAAGCCGAGCTGGAGAGAAAATTAATCAAATCCAGAAAGGTTTTTCTTTCTTCTTCATCCCATCTCCTTAAAGTTAGGGTCTGTGCATGCTGCCATTTTTTATGATGGGCAAAACACCATATCTCTTAACAACTATTTTCCAGTTATAATTTGCAGTTATTGGTGAAAGGGGCATTTTTGTGATTAAACTTTACTAATTACAGCCTTATCTACACGAGTCGAGACATCAACATGCCCTGAGGAGGGAAAGGGGCTCGGGTGGACGTTTTGCAAAGAAATCTAATAGTGGAGATGCTTGTAAAGGGACAAGTTCAGGCTCGAGTTCCTGTGGACCAAACATGGCTGAAACTCATGATCGATACAATGCGGATGTTGGTGGACTTGGTAAACAAGTGGACTTGCACCAAGCGCCACATCAGCCATAGCAAGATGGAGTGAGGGGGCCCACTTGGGTTCGGAAGTTGAGAAACAATCACGCATCTAGCCATGTGCTTACAACGGAGTGAAACCCGGCCGACTCACTTGGTTTTTTCCAAGCTGGCTGGCAAGTCATCCTTGGCTTTTACTACCTGTTAGGTTTTCTTTTCATTTCTTTTCTTTTGCTCACCGGGATTTTTTTTGGTGGTTGTTGTTCTTTATGTACAGTTTGGCTTTTGGCTTTGATAAACAGAGTTTGTGTAGGATATATATAACCCAAGTTAGATCTGCTGGGAGGAGTATGTTGTTTTTTTTTTTACTGCCTTCATTGATTGTGCATTTCTTTTCACTGAAAGGGTCGTTCGTGCACTTATAGAACGATCTGTATATCTATACATAGAGAAAAGAGAAATGCTACATTGTAGTGTACAAATAGATTGACAACACAAGTAAAAACATCCATAAAAGTAAAAATAAAAAAATACAAAAGTGAATGTTTTCCACTTATGTTGTCAATTTAAGTGTACACTAAGTTGGCTGTGTATCATATTTCGAGAGGAAAAGAATATACAGATAATTGAGTGAATTGAGTGAAGGTAAACCTATGTTAATGCTAAGTGCAAGATACAGATAAATATGAAAAAGGCCAAGAAAGAATATAAGGAACAATAAATAAATAAAACAGAAAAGAAGGCACCATCTCTCCACCAGTCCACCTCATGGCTTCGTTCGTCTCACAAAAAAGTGAAAAACTAATAAAGAGGACAAAATAAAGTATTTTAAAGAAGTGTGATCACAAGGTCATTGTAAGTATATATATTGTTCGTTGAGCTATGTCAATAAAAAGGAAAGAACGGAGATAAAAACAAAGCACACAAGTGTTAGTTCAATATGTTAAAACCGATCTTTGATACTTGTAATAACAGTACAAGATTCTACACCCATAATGGATAACCACGACTGACATTATTCCAAGCAAAACAAAAACACAAAGAAAAGAGGAAAGCCCATTTGTGTCCAAGGGGGATAACCTAACCACGACTCTTCAATCCTATGGCGGTGCACATCATTTCCAACAGTCGGTCACTGATGATGATTGTGATCTGTGTCCCCTGCATTTCTCATCTCTTCTTCGGCCTCCGTATTTTCAGCCCCACTATCCGTGACGTTCTTTGGATCCGTCACGTTAGCCAAATTCTGCTTCTCCATCATACCTGACAGGGCAAGCCTTGGGGACCACTCAAGAACGTCGTCGATTATATTTGATACCCTCTTCTGGTACCTGTGAACAGCGAATTTAGTTTTCAGCTATAAGTGCTCCTTAGAAGAACAACTCATCCATCTCATAAACACAAAAAATCAAATCTCAAGCATCCTTTTCTTTTTTTCCTTTTAATGGTTTTGTAACTTGCTACAGCTCATCTGTAATTACTTAAGTCCTCAGTTTTTCAATTATCAACCTCAAGTTGTATATATATATATATAGTATACCTGGCTCTAGCAGCTTCATCAGGAGCATGGTGCCTCAAAAGTATGATGACCAAAACGGCCACCATTGCGTAAACCAACCGAGATGTCCACTTGGGCCGCTCTCCCTCATCCTTCTGTGGCCAAAACTGGAATAACTCTTTCAGTGTGGCCTCTTCTGCAAGTATGTTCGGGAAGAACCATACTCGTTTCCCAAGAACGATCCACAGAACTCCAAATACAAGTGCCCTCACTGCATGCAAATATCAGTCAGCTCGAGAAAGAGTATATTTATACAGGCGTACTCTTAATTTGGTCAAAGGAGTCAAAACAACTATTAATTTAAAAAACGGAAAATAAAATGTTTCAAAACAATTGACACTCATAGGCCATGAGCTCTTAGACGTTTCACACACTCACATGCATAATCAATGGGTTAGAAGATGAGCTATGTAATGAGCATTGAATAATAGTTTAAACAAACTTACCTAGGAGGAGGCAGAGAATGAGAAGCAGTACACCCGCACAGAAGTAGAGTATAAAAAGCTTCACTTGGTGAGGATACACAGGAAACAAGCAGATTGCCAGAGTCAAAACGGGCCAGAAAAATGAGAGGAGAGTCTGCCATAATGGCCTTCGGTTCACAAAAGTCCACGCGAAAAACGCATCATTATCAGAGAACACTTGATCCTGCATCATACAATTTATCCAAAGTATTATTATATATACGCTGTGACGCGGGGTCACTTAGCTTGACTCGAGAAAGCTCTTCAAATAATATTAGTTTAAACAGAAGATAAGAACAATGACTTCAACCTTAATCAACAACCAAAATACCGCACAAAATCCAGAGAAGAAAATTTTGTCCTTGATTTGTTGAGGAAACAAGAAATAACTTACTGCAAATATTTCCAGATGCGCAGGCCATGTAGACAACTTTCTCTTTCCAGGCCGAACAGTTTTGACAACACGGTCACACCGAACTATAAGACTCTTTCTCAGCAGAATATTGGCAATATCTTCAGTTTCTAAGTTCTTATCTTGTTCAAGCAGGTCCTTCAGTTCTGAATGATTTTTCAAAAAACTAACAAGATCTTTTCCTCTAAAATATTCAACTCTTGTCTCCTGTAAGACGGCCCACCTAGATTCTAGATCCTTATGATTCCTAACTCTCTCGGCAAATATTTGGAAGACATCTCTTTTCGCAGCTTGCTTCTGAAATTCAGAATTCAAGGGTCAGTGAAGAGTAAACTACAATCATTTTCACATCTTACAAATAATAGCACAAAGCAATAGAAGACAGTCATGAGTTCAGTGTTCTGATAAAAAGATAAAAGGTTGACCTAATGCATACTGGGGTGCTTTTAGGTCCTCTTGTTAACAGAGCAAATTTAAATAAATAAATAAAACACTATTAGTTGTGATCTGATCCAGGACTACAAGTTGGTTATATAGTTATGTTTAATAATGCAATCCGTTGCAAGATGCTTGGAAAATGATTACGAATCATTTTGTTGATTAGAAACAAAAACAGAAACCAGAAACAAGGTAGAAACAAGATGGTATCCTTATCCAGAATATATGATATTTCAGTATAAAACACACCCCCTGTCAGAGGACTCTCCTTTTATGTGCCCTAGTGCATGTAAAACGTTCCACCCTAACAATAAGGAAAAAAGACAATGATCTAATAGCTTGCGAGAAAGGAGGAACAGAGAGAATATGCAGATTTTATGCTCCTTCAGGGGAAAACAACTGTGATTTGCCTAAGAACTTGTGACAGCAAAACGGAAAGGATTTTCTTGTTTTTTTAACAAATATTAAACACATACACAACACAAAAAAACATCATCAGCAATGCATGTTGACCTAAAATTCCTGCAATGACTGAAAAGTAGAATCATATGTCCTCTTTATTTTTTCTTTAAACTCACTCTTGTACTATTCCAAAAATTCCAGAAAATTTTTGAAACTGAATTGAAGAACTGATTAAACAAGGTGACTAAAGGAAAGAAGGAACAACGATTTGTTATGTGAATCACAAATCATTCTTAGCTCTTACATTTCACACGATCATTTTTTGACGCATCCTATAACTCCCACATAAAAGAATTAAACTTAATCCCTGATGATCATTATCAACACAAAGATTTTAACTAGGAAGACCATGCTCACCCACCTACCCTAAGAAAACATAGGAAAGTTTGAAATGTTCCTATGGCCTAAGTTCAAAATTGAGGCCAACAATTATACTCTCTGATGCTAAGATATCAAAATGTTGACGAATAGGGTTTCAAATATTCAAATAATTCACAAAAAGTCCTTGTATTGCTACCAAACAAATCTTCAAATCGCCATAGTTGATAACATGAATTGCCCTTAAGTTCCGCACGACCGATCAAACAAACAGCAATTTGCAAATGCAAGTATGAATAAATGAAAGGGAAAACACGATGTCATCTGCAAAATCGTATCTCCTTTACTTAGTGAAATAATGCCAATTTTTTTCTCATAAAACTTGAGCATCCAAACAAAAAATAACAATATCCCACAAATAAAATTATTTTAGGTTGATACCAGCTATCACAGATCTCACTGGACAACGTCGGAGGACTAGCAAACACAATATCCCCAAAATCAATATCCCAACACCAAAACGCGTTCTCATATGTTCATAAATGCGAAGGTACAATAGAAAGAGATGCACCAACCTTAGGAGCAGTATCGGTGACGGAGTCGGCGCGGCGGCCCTTCTTTTTATCGCCGGCAGCTCCACCGCCGCCCCCTGATTTCTTCATTTCTAAATTCTCTCTTATGCTTTTTTTTTCTTTTTTTCTCAGCGATTTTTGTCTTCTATATTCATGCCGAATCCGATAGTTATTATTTTTTTTAAATATATTAAAGAAAAATAGAATTAAAGTGTAGTTTACCCATTTCTTAAACCGGGCCTTTCCAACTGGGCCCAGCCATCGACGTGCAGCGCATCTTAGATGTCGGCCTCGAGTTATAATTTTTCATGTTCATACTATACTAGTATAGAATTTTTTTTTAAGTATTATTATTAGGAAAATGCTAGATGTACATAATAAATATAAATGTACGTAGAATTGTACATAACACTCACATGAGTAGGGTTCACTTGATTTTTTATTTTTGGTAGGACCCACTCAATTGTGAGTGTTATGTACACCTCCATATACAATATTATGTACCTATAGCATTACTCTTATTATTATACTTGTACAGTTACTTTTGGAATGTTTTTGAAATATTTTTATAAATATAAAAGTTTTGAAAATATTCAATTTTACTTCAAAATTAAATTATTATTGTAAACTTACGGACTTTTTCTTATTTAAATTTACGTTTATTTATTTATAGTTTATTATAAGTTTATATTATCAGCTCTAGCGATGTGGAAATATAATGATATACCAAATACACAGTTTTTGCTCCAACACACAGTTTTTGTTCCATAAGAAAACTATTCGATGACTCTATAAAATTTTGACCAAACACAAACTATTCATAAGCATCAATTAAGCAAAAACATCATCCTCGAGATAAATAAATCAAACATTCAAAAATAATCTCAAAAGACTGAAACATCACCAAGCATACTTAAAAAAAATATATTTAAATTACAATAAAACCAAAACCAAGAAAAAAAATCATTATACATTATCAAATCATCAATAAATATCGATTAATAATATTTGTGATTTGCCATCTAAACAATAATAATAATAATAATAATAATAATAATATTAATAATAATAATAATAGTAATAATAATCACAAAATTACCATTTACCACCATTTGTCAATGTATGTTAGCAAAATCAAACAAAGCTCGGTCAAAGTCAGTCATGTTCTTTGAATCATCTTATCATTAAGTCCACCACTTTAGACCTTGAAACCTCATGCCACCTAAAACTAGGGATTAATATTCCTCCATGAGAGAGTAATCCATTGCTATTTCCGCCCAAATTTAAGGGTGTCGTCCAAATTTGGTTGTCATACCTCTGTTCACTATCTGATGTAAATAATTAATTGGAGAATATGAGAAAGAAAGAAAAAAAAAAATGTGTTGTTAATATGAGGGAAGAAGAATATGACGTTGACTTTAATGGAAGAACTTAATTATTATTATTATTTATTATTATTATCATCATTATATTGCTAATATAAGTCATGTAAAAAACATTTTTTGAACACATTACTGTCGAAACACAAATGCCCATATTGAAAATTTCTGTTTTAAGTACAATCAAAAGTAAACAACTTAATTTGTAATTTTACTGTTAGTTTAACTCTAATTGTAGTAACTATAATCATGATAAGCGAATAAAAATTCTGATCAATTAAATGAAGGCAATAATGAGGGGCTCCTGATATCCCAATCTTAATTAAGATACATATATGGGTTAATGGTTATGAAAGGACAAAAGAGGAAATATTGAATTTGTCTAGTATCGTATGAGGTTGGAATTAATAACATGGTCAATCTAGATATTTTGTGATTTATATATCGTTTGCTTAATTATTACACTAAGTATGAGATTTACATAGACATTTTACGCTTGCCATCTAAGCCACAACTTTTAAATTATGGGCCACGCCCAAATGTAGAGAATGATTATATGTTGATCTTAATCAATTAGGACTACAACCTATACAAATAATACAATGTAATGTTGACTTCTGGGTTGATAAGATGAATCTTGAGGATACGGCTAGCTACAAAGTCCTTTTTTCATACTTAATGGATGCCAATGACTTGGCTCTTTTATTGTACACATGTCACGGTTCTTCCTAAATCGTTGCTTTTGTTTGTGAAATCATATAATTATATTAATAACTGAAAATTCAAAAAGTGATCATCGATCCATTAAACAAAAGCTCCATAAATGAGACACAAAAGCTCTATAGAGGAGACTGAAAATCCGACGATACTAGACTAACAAAAGAAAAAAAAAAAAGAGAAACAGAAAAATAACACACACTTAAAAAACAACTAGAATAAAACCCGATTTTGTTATGGAGCCATCGAATGGCTCGGCTTATGAAGCCATCCATTGTTATCCACAAATGGTGTATTGACACGTGTCCTGCAATAAATACACATTGGACACGTGTCAATACATAAAGGCATGAATGACTCCATAAGGGAACCATCCGATTGCTCTATAGATTTTCTGGAATAAAACCTCCCATAAATTTTGGAGAGCAAATATTTTCCTCATTCTTCCATTCTTCAGGGAAATTGCTCCTCTTCTGCCTCTTGGCTCTGGACTACTTGGATGAGGGTGAAGCAAAAGTACAGAGAATATTTCAAAATTAACATTGGAGATTGTGCTTCAACTCATATCTGGCATGACCCCTGGGTGCCTAAGTTGAGGGTGAACAATGGCCTGTTGAGGAAGAGAAGAGAGTCTTATCTGACTGTGGTTAAGGAGCTAATAGAAGACAACGGAAGAAGTTGGAATGGTGACAAACTAAGAACTCTGTCCAGTCAAAAGGATGTAACAACTATACTCAAGGTGAAAGGGTTGGATCCTGGTAAAAAGGATAGGTGGTTCTGGAGTCTTGACCCTAAAGGTATTTTCTTTGTTGCAAATGCATATTCTAAACTTAGTCTGAAGAAGTTCAGGGAATTTGACAATGCTAAAGGCAGTCTTTTTGCTATTGTGGAGATGAAAGTGAGGAAAAGGAACTGGAGTATGAAGGGTGAAGGGCAAACTTAGGCATTTCATCTGGAAGTGTTACAATAACATCCTGCCTACAAGTCAAAATCTGAAGCATAAAGGCATAGAACTAGATCCTATCTGCCAAACATGTGGAGAGGACTTGGAGACTGTAGAACACATCTTCTTTCATTGTAGAAGAGCACAATTAGTGTGGATGTTGACACCTGTAAGTTGGGACTCAATGAAGACACCTATCTGCAAATTCATACATTGGTGGTGGCCTATGTGTTCTATGGACAAAAAAGCCACTTCAGAGGACAGAATTCAACTCAGCACTTACATCCTCTGATGGCTTTGGAAGTCTAGGAACCTTTGGAAGTTTAAAGGGAGCCTAATGCTTGAAATAACAGTTGTTGAGACAACTGTAAAAGAATGAGCTGAATTTAGAGATAACAAATTGTTGATGTCGAAAATCGGACGATCAACGGTCGATTATAGGTCTAATCACTTGTATGAAATTGAAGAACAAAACTGTTGAAAAGGATGCTTTTATTTCTTATTTTTGGAGAGAATACTCTCTTTTGTTCTTGGGAAGAAAATGAAAAAATGGAGAGAGCATCATCCAACCGCCCCTACTCTCTCTTGTGTTGTGTGGGAAGGAAAAAATGAAGAATGGAGGAAGACCCCCTTCTCTCTCCTCCTTCTTACATATATATACAAGTCCACCTCTTTTTTGCAAGTGGGCCATTAAAAATAAATAAAAGGTAGTACATTATCATTTAATGAGAAGTAATCATTGCGGGACCCGCTAATGGCCCTTGATGGTTCCGACCGATGTTTGTCTCCTCGGCTCGGTAGCAGTGGACTCGACATTTGGGAACCTGGTCGGTTTTTTAGGTGATCCATCTCGATAACCTGTTCGTATATTCATTTATTATGTATTTTTGGCTCCTCGGTTGTCGGGCTGTATTTTATTATTTAATTTATTATTTAATTAATTGGAGCCAAATTGGGTATCAACAGGAGGCCCCCGAGTTTAGGGCATGTTCTGGATTGAACTGTTCTGAAGTCGCGTTAATTTTTTACAATTTGGCAATGTTTTCGCCTAATGATTCTTGAGCTTCGAGCTCTTTATCGTGTAGGCTTTTACTTTATGCGTCTCGAGGACTTATTTAATCTTTATCGAGTAACTTTGGTTACTTAGATCGTTGTTGTGTTGTTTTCGGGCTCTTTGGGACCCTTGCGCGTTTTTTTTATCATTTCAAGCTTTGCCTGACGTATTTACGATAATCGCGCTTTAATCTTTGACGAATTGAGTCAGTTTGAGAGAATGGGCAATTTTGCAAATTTGCTATTGGATGGGACCTGAGCGGCCTGGTCGGGTAATTTGGTACCCGTTTTTATGCATGAATGCATTTTGAATTGTCGACATGAGTGAGCGTAGAGCTCTTGTCCGAGTGAGCGTTGAGCTCTTTGTTTGATTGAGCTTTGAGCTCTGTGTTTCTTACGAGGTGGTATGCATTATGCGGTCACATGTGGAATGAGCGAATGTATGGTAAATGTATGTGATGAATGTATGATGAATGTATGTGATGAATGTATGATGGATGTATGTGATGAATGAGCGCACCTTGTCGCATATCTAGTTGGGCCGAACTGCTTTTAGAGTTCGGTTTCTAGTTTTAGGGCACTTCGGCCTCATGGCTCGTAGGCCTTTAGTTTTACGGCGTTTCGGCCTAATGGCGCGTAGGCCTTTAGTTTTTCGGCATTTCGGCCTTATGGCTCGTAGGCCTTTAGTTTTACGGCGTTTCGACCTAATGGCGCGTAACCTTTAGTTTTACGGTATTTCGGCCTTATGGCGCGTAGCCTTTAGTTTTACGGCATTTCGGCCTTATGGCGCGTAGCCTTTAGTTTTACGGCATTTCGGCCTTATGGCGCGTTACCTGTCCGACTTGCTCGTTGAATCGGGCGACGGTCTGGCCTTGCTGAGCTTCGCGTTTGGGCTCGTTATTCATTTCTTACGTTGGCGACTTTGGCCTTACCGGGCTACTTTGCCGAGCCCGGCTCGTGCCGGCCAGGCCATCGTACTGACCCGACCTGCACATAATTACGTGGCAGCTTACCTGGCCGGTCTCGCGTTCGGACTCGGTGGTATTATTGGCCTGACCGGGCTTCCTAGTTGAGCCCGGCTAGTGCCGACTAGGTCATCGTACTGATCCTAGCCGACACTTCGTTCCTTACGTTAATTACGCCGCTTCGACTCGATCTAAGCCTAAGACGACCTAGCCTCTAAAAGAAAAAGGTAAATTACATTCTTGACCTAGCTCATCGAATAATCTATACAATAACGTCACTCATTGAGTGAGACTAGCCTAGACCTATTGGTAGGACTTCTGCAGAAATGCCGGGTTTTATGGGTATTGATGGTCGCGTGCCGTCCAGGTGTTCAAGTCGGTAGGCCCCGTGTAGGGGGACGTCGTTGATTTGATATGAGAGTGGTTTGTCTTGGAATTTGGCGTATTTCACGTTTCGTCTGTCACGTGCGGCGATAATGACATCGGCCGGAGCAAGGGCTCTACGGCGGGCGATGTAACGACGTCAGCCCGACAGAGCAGGGGCTCGTCGCCGGACTGGATAATGACATCGGCCGGAGCAAGGGCTCTACGACGGGCGATGTAACGACGTCAGCCCGGCAGAGCAGGGGCTCGTCGCCGGACTGGATAATGACATCGGCCGGAGCAAGGGCTCTACGACGGACGATGTAACGACGTCAGCCCGGCAGAGCAGGGGCTCGTCGCCGGACTGGATAATGACATCGGCCGGAGCAAGGGCTCTACGACGGGCGATGTAACGACGTCACGACTTGAAGGTCTCGTGACTTCCCGAGATCGAGAAGCATTAGAGGAATGGTCGTACCTATCCCGATGGCTTGCAGCAGACCAACTTCTCTCAATCCTTCCCGTCTCGGTTTGGTTTTCACGAACAAGGTTCGGTATATATATTTTTTATTCATGTACATCTATATATGCGTTTATTTGTTTATTTATTATCAAGTATATATGTCTACATATATTTATCATGCTATTATTATTATTATTATCATTATTTTATGCGTATGTGTGTGTATACACGATATATATACATATCTATATATATATATATATATATATATATATGTATGTATTCGAAACGAAATTGAAGGTAGAATTACCTGGGGACGGCGCAGAGTGTAGGCCTAGAAACGTTATCGACTGGAGAGATCGATTCTTCTACTTCTCCGCTCCCTGCCGAGCTTCTCGACTTTGCGATTCTCATTGTTCGCTATTTATTTATTTTTATTACGTTATTATTTATGTATGTATATATATATATATAATACACATATATATTACATATATGCGTTACTTATTATATATATACATATATGATTATTATCACAATGTATCTATATGCACACATTTATATGTGTGACTTATTATAAGTACATGGTTAATGAAACTTATAATAGTTATTACTTATTAATTAAATGCATAGTACACATGCAGTACATAATAAGTGCAGTACACATATTTGTGGAGTACATACATATTATATGTAATTATTCGTTCATGTCATTACTATTAGGGGAAGCTGATTTATATATTTGCTTTTTTAGTTATTAAATCAAGGATAAGATTACTTACCTGTACTCATCCGCAGAATATGGCCAGAAACCCATCTCTTGGCGTGCCGCTCAATAATTTGTCCGAATTTGTGATCCTCAGAATACGCCCAAACTGTGCCGACTGGCAGCGGTGAGGGGACAATTTTTCGGCCTCGATTTGTGATAGACGAGTTAGACGAAAAGTGGAGGCTCGCTCTTTGGTGACGGAGGCCAGCGGTTTGACTTCTGAGGTCGGCATCAGAAGGTCGGATCTGAGGATAGTAGCGGCTAGCTCGGCATCCGGGTTTGGATCCGAGGACGGCAGCGACGATGTCGTCTTTTGAGGGCCCGGCGGCGGCGATGATTCGGGCGGCGATGATTCGGGGTGCTCGGTGTTTGGGGGCGAGCTCGGCATCGGAGATCTGGGGATGGCGGCGGCGGCTCGGTGTCCGAGTTTGACGACGGGGTCCATTCTCCGGTGGCGGCGGTTCGGCTTCCGGGTCTGAGGGCGGCCTCAGTTAGGTCGGCTTTTCCGTCTGTGAGGCGGTTTCTATGGTGCCTACCATTTGGAGGCCCGGTTGGTGACTGGGGAGCGAGGTTGATGAAGTTTCGGGGCCGATCCGGCGACTGTGAGGTTGGCCCCGGCAGTTGCGATTACAGTTGGTCGAGGCTAGATTGAAGCTCGGCGTTTGACTTGAAGCCGGAATTGCGGTCGGCCTAGTGAAATCGGATTGCGAGGTTGGCTCGACGGTTTGGTACGGGTCCTGGGTTGAGGTCGGCATCAGCTCGCGAGGTCGGACCCTACGACATGGGGTTTGGGTCGGTGATTGCGATTTGTCGGATCCGGGCTGTGACGTGGGGTCGGCCCCGGCGGCGAGGTAAGCCCGGTTGCAAGGAATTGGTGTTAGCCCGTTATTTGTATGTTGGGGTCCGAGCTCGATGTCCGGCTGCGATTGTAGATTCGGGTCAGCCCGGACTTCGGTGTTGGGTTGCGTTCAACCTATGACGCGAAGCTGTGCGGGCTCGACATTGGGTAATGGATGTTGGTTTGGAGGTCGGCCGTGGCGAGATCGGCCGACTTCGTGGTGGGCTCGGGCCCCATTTGCAGTTAGGTCGGGGGTGATGAGGTTGTCGACGACGACTGTGACGTCGGCCGTTGGCTATGTGTTGGTCGGCATGGTGTGGTCGGGCCCGGTTACCGAGACGACAAGTGCCGAAGTGATGTCGGAGGAGACGAGGTCGGGTCTAACTGGGTGATGCAGCTCGGTGATTGGCGGGTCAAGACTCGAGAGATCGGGATATGTGGGGTCGGCTCCCTTGCGATTCGGTGTTTGCGGGATGGTGCCGACTTGAAGTCCGTAGTCGGCATCGGAGAGTTTCGAGTAGGCTGCCACCGAGATGGCTGGTCGTGGTGGCGAGGTTAACTCGTGAGGTCGGCCCGTTGGTCACGAGGTCGGCCCCGGCTACGAAGGCTTACTAGGTTGGCCTGAGGGTTGCAAGGTCGGCACCGACCACGAGGTCGGCTTGCGAGGTCTGGCCGACGGCTGCGATGGCGGTGGGTGGCGGATCGTCTTGGAGTCCGAAATCTGGTTGCGGCTCAAAGTTTTGCAGTCCGGGTTTGGTGTCGGACCAGCTGTGGTATTGAGTTGGCCGGCGTTTGGTGGCTGAGGCTCGAAGTTGGTCGCGCTTTCTGAATTTCGACTCTTTTTTTATTTTTATTTTTTTTATTTTTTCATTTAATCATTATCAGATTTGGATGTGATGTGAACAGTATTGTTCTGACAGTAACAGTACTCACTAACGTGGCTCAACTGTGGCCTAGTGGCAATATTTTAATTAAGAATTCAACTAACAAATAAGAGAAAAATAAAGGAAAAGTGAAAGAGAAACTGCTGCGTATGTTCATAACAAACAAGATGCAAGGATTTCAGATTTTGATTCTTTCAATCAAGGATTTTGTGTGGTTTTTTATTTTTTTGCCCGTCCAAGGGAAGCTTTCAGATCATCATATGCAAAACAAAATTCTGGATCTCCAAGTCTTCTCATAATTTGGAATGATGGAAAGGAGTGTAGAAATATGGAAAAAACACTTTCTGCTTCCGTTAATAAAATGTCCGGTAATACCCTTTTTTTTTTTTTTTTTTTTTTNGTGCAGAAACATGGAAGAACAGAGTCACCAATGAAGAGGGATTAATAGAAAAATATAATGAAGAGGGATTAATGAAAAAATATGAATGTCTTGCTTAACTTAGAGCGGTCTTTTTCGGTGGAGATGCGGTTGTTTTCCGGCGAAAATTGACTCCGAGCAAATTACGGAGCCCTCCTTCTAGCGCCAAACTGTTGATGTCGAAAATCGGACGATCAACGGTCGATTATAGGTCTAATCACTTGTATGAAATTGAAGAACAAAACTGTTGAAAAGGATGCTTTTATTTCTTATTTTTGGAGAGAATACTCTCTTTTGTTCTTGGGAAGAAAATGAAAAAATGGAGAGAGCATCATCCAACCGCCCCTACTCTCTCTTGTGTTGTGTGGGAAGGAAAAAATGAAGAATGGAGGAAGACCCCCTTCTCTCTCCTCCTTCTTACATATATATACAAGTCCACCTCTTTTTTGCAAGTGGGCCATTAAAAATAAATAAAAGGTAGTACATTATCATTTAATGAGAAGTAATTGTCTCCTCGGCTCGGTAGCAGTGGACTCGACATTTGGGAACCTGGTCGGTTTTTTAGGTGATCCATCTCGATAACCTGTTCGTATATTCATTTATTATGTATTTTTGGCTCCTCGGTTGTCGGGCTGTATTTTATTATTTAATTTATTATTTAATTAATTGGAGCCAAATTGGGTATCAACACAAATTACTGTAGTAGGTTGGTTGGGGTGGTATAATTCCAGGTTCTTATGGTTTAGTGGAAAGTTATTGTCTTGGCTGACTGATTCTGCTTCAGGCTGGGTGATGAAACTGTTGTGGTTGCTGCTTTGGTTGTTGTTGAACGCCCCTACACACCTGCTGCTTTCAGTCCTGTGATCATAGCTTGTTGCTGTAAGTTTTTACCGTTGTTGTAGTACTTTGAGAGTTTGTTGATTGATCTTTATTTGGTTGTATTAGAGCACCAAGTTAAGTGTCTCTCCTTGTGTCTTTTACTTGTTATTGGAGCTAGTGGGCTCTCGATTGTAAGAAATTTTTACTTTGTTTCATATTTATTGAGTAATCTATCATTTTGAAAAAAAAAAAAACCTAGTAGGCAAAACACACAGCCACAAAAACCAACGCACGAGCAAAACTTTACAACACAGATGTCCAAGAGAACCTCAGACCGAACCCCAGATCTAAAAACTGCGATCGAACTTGAGCCATCTCGACAGATTTGGCGAGGAGGCGATTATCATTTTAGGTCTGGCCTCCAAAGATCATCAGCGCCGAAGAGGAAAGGCACACGCAAGAAACGACACCTGCGCGTCAAACCGCCGTTGCCGAGGCCAAGAAAAGGCGCTCAGCCACAGGGAGCCTCCAACCGAAAAACAACAATGAAGTACTCCAAGCAGGCACGAGACTGGGGGAGGAAGAGTGGCACTGCGACCCTAACCCAAGCCGACGCGAGAGCGGTGCAGCGAGCGCTGCAGCAAAATTGAGACGGGAAGGCGCCCTGCAACCTCAGCCAAATCGGAAAAAGGGAGCTTGGGCCTACTAGTAGGCTAAGGGGGGCGACGAGAAAGGGGATCTGGGTGTGATACACGGGGACGACCAGGGGTGTAGCCAGAAATATTTTTTACCTGGGCTACTATAACTGATTTTCTAGTGAGTACAACTCAATTCAGGTTGTAAAAAGTTAATATTGACTCATTCGTATAATAAAACATATAATAAAAATTTAATTCAAGTGAGCAGAACTAAATTGATTACACTCAATTTATTAAATGATTCGAGCCAAACATGCTCATTTATTAAACGAGCACAAGTTCAAACACGACATGTTCGAGTCAATTTGCCTTCAATTATATCACTACTGTTATGTGTAAAAATTCAAAGTATGATATTTTTCTTAATTGTTTAATGTAAATTACAAAACGAACTAAAAACAAATTATTAAAAATATGCATGTTGTTTTAGTAAATTAAAAACACCTTATGTTACTTTTTTAGGCATATTTATACGAAGATCGATCGATTGCATTTTACACAAACTTATAAATTTGTTTTGTTGATATAGTAATTTTTTATTTAAAAAATAGTACTGCCGCGTAATTTCTTCTTGCCTACTTAAATTTAACTTATAAAAATAATATAACTTATTTCAAATACTACTATAAGATGAACATTTTTTTAGGCATGTCAACCCAACATAGTTGTTATATGATCTTTCACTTAAATTGTGTAAGTCCAAATGTCATTTTATTGAATAGGCAGGTTAACCCAACATACTTGCTATATGATATTTTTTACTTAAATTGTGGAATTCCAAATGTTGTTTCATTGAATATGTTATGCAAATTCAAATTAGAGTTTTATGGTTTCATTGTCTTTTTTTTTAGAATAGATTGTGTTGAAGGGTAATCTTGCAACTTTATTAATTTGATTGTTTTCTAATTTAATTCATGAGTAAATATTTAATTTCTAGCAATATTCTAAAAATTGCATATTTATGATAAATAAAGTGTACAGTGTTTAAAATTTTTAATATATAAATTTATGATTTTGTAAAATTTGATTAATTATAAAATATTGTATGAGAATTCAATTTGAAAAAATTACGAATAAACATATAATACCACACCAAAAGTTCAAAAAGAAAAAATAATATTAATAAAAAAAAACTCAAGAAAGGTGAAGTAAAAAATACGAAAATGCAACTTATACAAGGTGTTAGCTCATGCTCATGAAATGAAACGGAACAAAAGGAAAGGAAAAATAAAGAGATAAAAAGGAAAGTAGAGAGAGAAAGGGAGAGGGATTAGTAGGAAACTTCATCATCATCTCCATGAGAGATAAATCAATCTCCGCAAAAGACCCTTTTGACTCTTTCTCTCTCTTCCCAGGGGTGGATTCACATCTTCACGACCCCTTCGTTTCATATCTACATTTGTTCTTCATCTGACCGACATGCTGTTCGCCGCATTCTTTTCCGTCATTTTTTCAAAATTCCTAGAGAAATCGTAATTCTGGGTAGGTCCCATTTTTCTCATTATTTTACATTTTTATTATTTTTAGCTCCCACGGCGTCGTCTTCTTCCCGATTGATGATGTCACAGAGGTTTTTATCTTAATGGTATTTTTTTTTTCCTGCGGCAATTATATCTATCGTTCCATAGTTCTTGGAGATTTTTGTTACGGATTTATTATTCTTTTTCCTTTTTTTATTTTCTCATTTTTCCCCTCTGCAAGAGAGCTTCTTTTCACTATATAAGAATTCTTCTTTCAAGTTTCAACCTTTCAAAATTTTCCGTCACGCCCATTCCGAATCTGAGAACAAATCCAGCTGTAATATATCAGCGATTATCTTTTTTATTTTTATTTTTATTGTTATTTGTGTACATTGGCAGCGCGATTGGAATTTCTGTGATCCAAAAAATCTCAGGGCACCGTTCTTTTTGGAGGATTATTGAGATTAAAGCTTCACATATTCTGAACCATGGGTAACTGCTGTGCGGCTCCTTCCGGTTCGTCCAATGCCAAGAAGAAAAAGAACAAACCTAACCCGTTTTCGATTGACTACAGCGCGGAGCATGGATCAGGGGGCTCGAACAAGCTTGTCGTGCTGAAAAACCCAACGGGTGACGACATAAATTCCCAGTATGATCTGGGCCGGGAGCTTGGCAGGGGAGAATTCGGGGTCACCTACCTATGCACTGACATTGAGACCGGGGAAAAATTGGCCTGCAAGTCCATATCCAAAAAGAAGCTGAGGACAGCTGTAGATATTGAGGATGTGAGGCGGGAAGTGGAGATCATGACCCGCATGCCCAGCCACCCGAATATCGTGACCCTTAAGGCAACTTATGAGGATGATAGTGCTGTTCATATAGTGATGGAGCTTTGTGAAGGTGGGGAGTTGTTTGACCGGATTGTGGCCAGAGGGCATTACACGGAGAGGGCAGCTGCGTATGTGATGAGAACGATTGTTGAAGTTGTTCAGGTTTGTATATTCGTTTTCGAGTTTGAATGGACTTGGGATTGTTTTCTTTTATTTGTATTTTGGAATTTGTGGTGTTATAGGTTTATTCTGTTTTGCCTGGTATGCTTTTGATTAGGCACAAAATCGATAGGCAAAGAGCGCAAGCTGCAGGGTTGATAATGGAAAACAAATATTTTTTTGGTTTTAACCAAGCTTTATGTTGGTTGTTTTCTTGATCAGAATATATGGATTGGAGATGGTTTTGTGTGCCTGGGCAGTGCATGAGCATGATATTTTATTATTCACTTGCTTAAGACATTGAAAGCATTTGAAGTGTCTATACTGTTTTATCCCTGGAGTTTCTAGATTGGTTCATCCTTGAAAGTACAGGGAGATTGGTTGTGTTGTACAGCATAGTTAATTCTAGTGAATATTATGGACAATTGTTCTCTTTCTAACCATGTGATTTAATGTTTTCTATGTTGTGGGCATAGCCTATTCAATCTTGCATTTTCTTCTTCACGAATGTGCTAGATTTTCACGTATGATAAAATAGACATTAGTTGGTGTATACAGTGGAGTTCCTTCAGGCTTGACTATAGTTCACTGCCCTTTTCTTTATTCAGAAAGATCATCCTTTTTTCACTTTTTTGAATCATTGAATTATTTTTTCCTTTTTTTTCCCTTTTCTTTTAATATGTTAATATGCCCATACATTTTGTTTGGAACCCTGGCTTGAATTTACTTCATTGTGCTGTAGATGTGCCACGGGCAAGGAGTGATGCATCGTGATCTTAAACCTGAGAACTTTCTTTTTGCAAATAAGAAAGAAACGAGCCCCCTAAAAACAATTGACTTTGGCTTGTCTGTCTTCTTCAAACCTGGTAGGTTGTATTATCCTTTAAATTTCTGTTATGATGACCACTACCCTCATCCCTCTCTCATTTTTACTGCAATTTTGTGTCCTTTTATCTTTTGTGATTGTCAATTGTACTCAGGCGAGAAGTTTAATGAGATTGTTGGAAGCCCTTATTACATGGCTCCAGAGGTTTTGAAACGAAATTATGGCCCAGAGGTCGACATTTGGAGTGCTGGAGTTATACTATACATTCTACTTTGTGGTGTTCCTCCCTTCTGGGCAGGTTAGAGTCGTTAATTTTTGTCTGCATGAACATGCTATATGGGATTGTGGATGAGTTTGAAAATAGTTTAGAAATCAACATGGAATAGTGCATTTTTATCCTGAAATGAACAAGTGAAAGTTAGATTTAGGGTCTATGATGGCTTCTTGATTCCATCTTTTTATCTTTTGATCTCCTGCCTCAATTCACTTGAGAAAACCTCATTGGAAATTGAATTGTTCCATTTCCCGGACCTGTGTCAGCTAAATAGGTGTAGTGTAAATAAAAGGAACTCTTTCTTTCTATCGGTGTTAAAAAGTGGAATTGCAAGCTTCTAGGAAGTGTTGGAGCAAAGCTGTTCCCATATGTGTTTTAAGACATACTTGGCCATTGTACCAGATCAAGTGTTACTAGTAAATTTGGCTCGAGGAATATGAATTTTGGACATACACTGATTTTGTACGGCATCCCTCCAGCTTTCAGTCACTTATTATGAGAAAAGAATCACGTTCTCATAAGCTTTGAAATTATATGGTGGCCTTTACCCTCATTTTCTTTCCCTTTTAGTTAATTATCTCATATTCCTTTCCTTTTGCCCAGAAACCGAACAAGGAGTAGCGCAAGCAATTATTCGTTCGGTGATTGATTTTAAGAGAGATCCGTGGCCTAAAGTATCAGACAGTGCAAAGGATCTCGTTAAGAAAATGCTCAATCCAGATGCCAGCCAGCGTCTCACCGCTCAGCAAGTCCTTGGTAGTATCTCCTTGATTTAGATTGAGTTGTATTGTATATATATATATATATATAATTTGAGCTTATAGTGAAAAACTGAAAATGAAGATGGAACTTCGAATGCATATTTGTTTGAACGTGGTTCATATGCAGAGCATCCATGGTTACAGAATATAAAGAAGGCCCCTAATGTCTCACTTGGTGAGACTGTGAAAGCAAGGCTCAAGCAATTCTCCGTGATGAATAAGCTCAAAAAGAGAGCGCTAAGGGTACTGTGCAGTAAATGTTACTACATTTTACCTTAGTAACTACAAATATTACCTTTGTAAGGTAGATTGCAATAAAGTCACTGATATTTTGTTAGAAAAAAAATAAATGTTAAGGAGTTTTATGTGTAATGTCAGGAAAAAAGGGCATTTTCATTCTTAGGCTGAAACTGGGATAGTTTTTTCTAATTACCTCTGTTAATTATGATTTGATGCAAGAATGAAAATAATTTAAATGTAACAGGTTGTAGCCGAACACTTGTCAGTGGAGGAGGTGGCTGGAATTAAGGAAGCTTTTGATAAGATGGACACTGGGAAGAGGGGTAAGATTAACCGTGATGAATTCAAAGCTGGTTTGCACAAACTTGGCCACCAAATACCCGATACAGATCTTCAAATCCTAATGGAAGCTGTAAGGACTACATTCACGTACTCATAGATTCCCCTCATTTCCCACTATATGATTTTATTTCCTGTTGTGATGCTGGAGGAAAAACAAATTATTTATTGTTCAATCATTTGTTTCTATTATTATCTTTCTTTTTTCAGTTTTATCTAAGAATCATACATTTTTGTTTTACAGGCTGATGTTGATGGAGATGGGACTTTGAATTACGCGGAGTTTGTTGCTGTTTCGGTGCATCTAAGAAAAATGGCCAATGATGAACACCTACACAAAGCCTTTGCATTTTTCGATAGAAACCAAAGTGGTTATATAGAGATTGAAGAGCTTCGTGATGCTTTGAGCGATGAAGACGATGCTAATAACGAGGAAGTTATCACTGCTATCATGCATGATGTCGACACGGATAAGGTTCGTGTACTTCACATAATCATCTATCTAAACACCTGATCACATTTTTTTTTTTTTTCATTTTCACCTCATACAGCTCCTTGTTCAGTTTTTTCGAATTCATTGTAATTAAATTGATATAACTTTTGAGCTGCGGCCGGTTTTTCATACAGGACGGGCGCATAAGTTTCGAAGAATTTGCTGCCATGATGAAAGCTGGTACGGATTGGAGAAAAGCATCGAGACAGTATTCTCGCGAGAGATTCAACAGTCTTAGCTTGAAGTTAATGAGGGATGGCTCTCTTCGATTAGCTAATGAAGGCAGATAAATTACTACAAAATGCTAATGATGAAGAGTGAGAAGGTGCTAATACGAGACATCCACATTTTCCCTGTGTTCTTTCTTTTGATTTGTTTTTTTGATTCCAAGCCAGTTTATCGACTTGCTATTTTCGTGTATGTATTTTTT